AAACATATTGTTTATTCTATATATATATATATATATATATATATATATATATATATACTGGTGTAAACGTATTGCTTTTCTGTATGTGTGTGTGTCTGCGTGTATAGATGTAGGATTCACTTTTCTTGTTCACTGACAGATCAGCAGTTATGTGTCTATATTGTCGCTGTTAATTATTGGATGAAAACTAAATTGGACATTCTCTTAAGTTTCTATTCAGACAATACAGATAAAAGTTGGTGACTTGGAGAGGTATGTTTCCCAATCAATCTGCAATATTGACTGTTAATCTTCATTGATCTGCCTCAGCTGGAGTTGTTTACCATGAGTTTGCATGAAAACTTTGTTGCATCTTCGAAATGGTGTGATTCCCTCAACAGGTTATTAGGGTCCTTCTTTTTTTTTTTTTTTTTTTTTTTTTTTTTTTTTTTTTTTTTTTTTTTTTTTTTTGTATCCTTTTAATAACAGTATTAAGGACTCTAATCAGTTCACTTTTTCTCTCTCTCTCCTTTTTTTTTTTTTTTAAATTATGTTCATTCAATACAAGGCTCATGAGCTACTCAAGCTAGAGGGATATTGAAACAAGGTATGTAATACAGACATAAGAGGAGTAAGTAGGAAATTAAAATTATGTGTATATGGTGCATAGATAACAATTAATCCGAGTTAAGATTGTAATGCTCACAGGAATCTGTTTTATAGAGGAATGGTTCTTAGAAAGATGCTGTTCCTTCTTACCAATAGAATGTGGAAAGAATGAGGGTGATTCAACCCTTTGGACATACCAAGGGGGATCTTTGTTGTAGAGGCCTGAACTGGTGGCACTAAAAATGGAGCTTATATGAACATTTGCCATGGAAGTAGTATACATTTGTGACTTTACTGAAATCTTAATAATATAAAGACAATTTATTCTAAGGAGGTAGTGTAAGATATGGATGTAAGAGGAGGAATTAAGAAGTGGAAATTATGAGGATATGGAGGATAGATAATGATTGTCCCTAGACTTGAAGAGGTCAAGATTGTAGTGCTTGAGGAAGCATCCACATGGGAGTCCATTCCACAAAGTAGCAGTTCTTGAAAAGAAGCTTTTTTTTTACCAATGGGATATGTAAGGAATGACAGTGATTCAACACTGTGGATGTAACAAGGTGGATCTTGCCTTTAAAGGTCTCAGCTGGTGGCACTTAATAAAGTTCATCTGAACATTTGCCATGGAAGCAGCTCCTTGGAGATATCTTCAATGGCTGACCACCACTTTTGTCACTCAACTTTTATGTTTCATTTCATTGAAATAGGACCCATTTATTAAATATTTTCATTATTAAATATATTCAGACAGGCTTTAGTTATATAAACAGTACTATGTTCATCGTGTGGAGATCATGATTACATTCCCAAATCTTTTATCAAAAAGTTATTTCTAGTGATTTACCATGACTGGCAACCCTTTAAATATATCTAGGACATTGTTAGAGAAGGTGGCATCTATCTCCTTCCTTCCTTCCTTCCTTAATTCCTTAATTCCTATCATGCAGCAATATAGATAGTTATAGCTGAGATTGTGTACTGTCCCATGCTAAAGAGCCCTACATAAAATAATAGACCTGTGTTGGCAGTCTCCAACATATTTATGTATATTTTCTGTTTTGAACCTTTTCTTTTTTTCAGGCAAGTTTTGCAGGAATCCATGAATTATAAAGTAAAATTTTGAAAAAAATAGTTGTTAGATTTGGATTTTACTAGTACACAAATGTATTGATTGCCAAGTGGGTATGCCTGTTTTTTTTTTTTTCTTTTTTTTTTTTTTTTGTTGCAGGAATTCTGGGTTCATGTATTAAATCAGTTTTACTCTATAAATCGGATCCCTGACTCAAAATTCCGTATCTCAAATACTGTTTTTTTTTTTGTTTTTTTTTGTGATGCTGACAGTTGAGCATGGCTCATTATTCTAATAAAGACTTTACAAGCATACTTATATTTGCATTCTGGAGACAGAAAGGTTGTCATTATTCACCAGCTTTTGAGTTTGGTTCTGTGCACATTAGTATCAAGATGAGTTCATGCCTTTTACGATAATGAAGTACCAAACTTTAAAACATTTGGCCAATTTTCTGATGTCCTTGACCTTGGATCATTTCCCATCTAAATAATTGCAGCTAAGTGATAAAATATTGATTTGGTGACCGCAAAATTTATTTACTTTTTGGGTGGAGTTACTAGGCACTTCAAACAGGAATAATCTTTTTCTTTCCTTCTTTTTTTTTTCTCTTTCCTTTTCTTTTTTTCCAAACATTTTTTTTTATAATACTATAGATCCAGATCACAAATATTAAAAAAAAAATATTTTAATTAAATTTTTGTTGTAATCTAGGGAAAGTTACTGAATAGAATAATCAAACGAAGGTTGGTAATGAATGATAATACTTAGGACAAGAACAACACATATAAGATTTGCCAACAGCATGTAGAAGTAGTCAACTGCTAGAATTGAGTCAAGTGAATTTCACAATGAATCTCTAACTGCAGACCAGCATACAGTATATGAATGGGGACATACCCATTATCGTCCATAGGTATGTTACAACAATTTTTTAAAAGTTAATGGTGGGGTTCCAGTATGCAATGTAAATCCCCCCTTCCCAATGGAAGCCAAAACACTTATATTCATAGTACATGATTTCATAAAATATAAAAAGATTTTTTAAAATTCATAATCTAAAGTGTATAATCAATAATAATTTTAGGGAAAAAAAAAAAATCAAGATTATGAATTTCAAAACAGTTTTAATTTTTTAATCTTAAAAAATATGAACATATTTTCTTTCGGTTTCCATAGGGGAATCAATTTACAATGAATTTACATAGCAAACTGGACTCCATCCATTAACTTTCATAAAATTTAATAAAAATTTTTTCGATATACGTGATCTGGAGTTTTTAATATAAAAAAAATTGAAAAATAAAAAAAAAATATTATTTCTGGTCAATAATGCCTATCGTAAAACTCCACCACTCTTAAAATAAAAAATATTTCCAGTATTAGATTTATACTTTTAAAATCTGTAATGATTAAACAATTCTAACACATTCATCACAAAAAAAAAAAAATTTTATTTCTGAGAATCCTTTTCTCTTAATGCTTGTAAAATCTACTTTCATTGCAAGGGGTAATGGTAAAATTAATTAGGCATTTTCTGGCAAGAAAAATTTGACATTGGTACTGTCAGTTGAAATTTATAAATTTTGTTAAAATAGTTTTTTTAGGAAATTAATTCTTGGCAAACTCTTAACTGTTATAGATCTTTCTGATAGTGGTGTCACTTTCTTTCCATTTTTTTTTTTTTATGGTCATATGAAAATTTTAACATCTTGAGTATGTCTTTATTTTATTTTCTCTTTTTAAATATGCTATCCATTTATGTTGTTTTTACTGTTGAAAGCATTCAGGTGATGTGGTTTTTGTTATTTCATAAAGCTCTTTGTGATTCTGTAGCACCAGTCAATAGTGTCTGATGAAACATTGTCTTCTTTTATATTTATGGGATTAATTCATTTGGAGCTATTTTTAGCAATTGATTTGAAAAAACAGTTGTGTTCAATATGTGCAAAAGAAAAGAAACCTGAAGAGAATGTGTTTTTTAATTGTTTCCTTTACAAAAACAGAGAAAGTGTTAATATATCGGGTTGACCAAAAATTTTGTTTGCTTTATTAAGTCCAAGATTTACTCAAAAACCGAACCAACTTTTTAGCAAACTTAATACAAAATATTGTTTCTTATCTGGTAAAACCATATTTTTTCCTTATTTTTAATGCATTTTTAAACTAAACCAACACTATTTAATACCACAGTTTGTACAGAATAACATACCTTTAAGAAATCTGGATTCTACTACTTCTTTTGGTAATTATTTAAAAAATAACTAAAAGTTTATCCATCACATCATAAAACGGCAGCCATATTTAAGTCATTTTTGCAATGATATTGGATATATTTTTTCCATTTCTATAAGTAATTTGGGATTTTTGGCATCCAGATTTTCACTTGGCATCATTACCAAAATATTAAATGATTGGAAAACCAATCAAGACTAGGTGGAAATTTTTTTCCATTTCTCCATTCTTCGGTTAGAACAGGTCACGTGTGTGTGTGTGTGAGATTTTATATATATATATATATATATATATATGCACACCCGTGTATCATGCAATCTTTTGAAACCAATTCGACTACAATAAATGGATATATATTTTAATCAATGGCGTAGCCAGAACCAGCAGTACATACACTAATTTTATTTCTTGTGTATGATGCAACCCCTTATAATTAGCTTTAAAATTAGGTATTCAAAAGTTGCATGTTACTCAAGTATATACGGTATATAAAAATTTCAGATAGAATATATCTGCAAAAGGGCAGAATGAATAAAGACAAAAGGGAAACTTATCTTAGCCAACGTGTTTCATCCTCTGAGTGACATTTGCCTTGATAAAGTCCCTCAGAAGACAAAACACATCAGAACTAAAATGAGTTTTTCCTTTTGTTTCTATTCAAATAGATATAGGGTGGCAATCCTAGCATGCAGCATTTTTGGAAAGTGTCTAAAAACCATAAGCCTTGTGAGTGAAATTGGCTAGGCAGAACTGTTTGGGAGCCGTCAATGGTTATGAGAGTATAAAATCACAAGTCATTGTGACTGAGGATTTGAGGATACTGGCTTTTTTCAAACTGCTGATCAATGCCACATCATATACTCTTTCAGAAACTGTAACTAATGTCTGCTTAGCATAATTGCAGTATGAACCCCAGGTGGGCTCTTTGGGTGTTGAAGAAACACAAATGTGCCTAAGCAGACATCTGCAATGGGGATTAGCTAGCTATCCTAGCAAACAGCTGTGCTTGGAAAATGCTAGCAGCCACTCATTATTTATTTATATATATTTGTAGGTAAAAAAAAAAACAAAAGTTACTGACAGTATAGTCTTACATCCAAAATAGATGGGTTATTTAAATTTTCTTTCTTTTTTTTTTCTTTTTTTTTCTGCTCCTCTATTATTTCAGTTCCCTCCCTTCCCCTTCCCCACAATTTCAGCCACTCCTCCTTTCTTTTCTTTTTGTTCAGAAAACAAATTAATTTCTGTCCCAATTTCTGGGATGAGGAAGCATCATTATTTACGTTCAGACTAATGTCCTTTTCTTTGTTATTATTATCACAATGTTTCTGCTGTTATAGGAAGTCTTCATGTGTCTGTTGATTTGTATGACCTTCAGAGAATTTATAACTAAACCCTTTCTTTAATTTATACATGTTGATTTTTCTCATTCTGCTGTTTGTATTTTAGGATATCTTGTTTTCTTATTTAGTACTATTAATTTTATATATATATATATATATATATATATATATATATATATATATATATATATATATATATAAAAGAAAAAAAAAGACCACTTTAAGGTTCCATTATAATAATTTATTTCACCAGAGCCCAATATATATATAGATTTGCTAAAGTTGATCATACATGATGAAAAAATGCCCCAAACTTAATAAAAACAAAATTTTATTGTCAAAATCTTTATTATTATTAAGAGGAAAGACAAAAGGATTTTTTTAATTATTAAATTACATTTTTTTATCCTATTTAGAATGTTCAAAATTTTGATTAATTTTTTTTTTTTTTTTCTTGCATCAGTGGGGGATGATAAATTAATATTGGAAATTTTAGCATCTTTTTGCAGTGAAAAACTTACATTGATTTGTAAATTTTTGCAAAAATCAGATAATTCTCTGATTTTAAAGAAACTTTCAGAAATTATTTTAGAAATATTTCTTAAAAAAAAAAAAAACCATGGTAAAAATATTTTTTTTAAATCTGTTACCCACAAATTATTTAATTTTATTTAGTTTCAAAAATTCATTTATGTAGGGTTTAATGTTTATATTAGTTATAAGCAGAAGTCCTTGAAGAAATTAAATCATATTTTTTTTGTAAAACTGAACATCCAGTTACCGAAAATCTGCTCAGGATCATAAAATAGAAAATGCAATAAAACTAAGACATTAATTAGAATGACTTAATTGCTTTTATGAATAAGATATATTATGGACCCTAAAAAAAAGTTGTTTGTTTTTTGGGTTTTTTTTTTTATTAATTATGAATTTTTATAAGAATCATTTATAAAGTTTTAAATCTTTTAAAATTCTATATTAATTTGTAGTGGTTAGTGACCCCCACCCCAGTATTTTGAATTTGTGTGTGTGTGTGTAAATGTGCCAATGTATGCATGACATTATCAGAAAATAAGAGCAATAACTCTAATGAATTTAAAGCCAAAGTACCTAAAATTGAATAAAGCGTTAGATTACAAGGAATAACGTCTTAAATTTTGAAGATTACTGTGTAGTTTTAAAAATATATATATGAATAAAAAGATACTCACATTATATTCATCAAGTAATTTTGACAGATATCTCTCACACACACACACACCATCATAGGAAAAATTCATAAATATTAGTCTATTGAAAAATGTGTCAACACCTCATATGAACACCCATCTCCATGTTAAAAATGCTTTCCTGTAATATTTTTAATTAAAAGTATTTTTTTTTTCAAATTGTATTAATAAAGGTAATATTCCTCAAATAAAGTTTCAGAAAAGCATATTTTATTTTTTTAAAGATTTTTTAATAAAAAAAAATTCTGTTGTGTTGAGAGAATTGTAAGTATGGCTGAAATCTGGTTTTTAGAGATTTCAAAAAACAAACTCATTTCAATCAATTTAAATTAATTTGGAATCCAGCAAAGTATTTGGTTTACTGTATTAAATTGAATCTTGAAATTAAAAGATTAAGAAAGACTTTTCATTTTTAAAAATTCATATTGAACTTAAGGTATTGCTTTGAAGTCCCCTAACACTCTATCCACTCTCTTTATATATCTATCTCTATCTATCTCTATCTCTATCTCTCTATCTATCTATCTCTATCTCTCTATCTATCTCTATCTCTCTATCTATCTCTATCTATCTCTATCTATCTCTATCTCTCTCTATCTATCTCTATATCTCTCTATCTATCTCTATATCTCTATCTCTCTCTATCTATCTCTATCTCTCTATCTCTCTCTATCTATCTCTATCTCTCTCTCTCTATCTATCTATATATATAATGTACACACACACACACACTTTGAAATAGACACACTACTTTTTTTATATTAAACTGTGTATTATGTTTATCGGTTTGCACATTTGAGAAATTTTAAAGTAATAAAAATATCAGATTAAAATAAATTCATTAATTCTTTAGAATTGTGTGTGTATGTATGGTAAAGGGTTGGGGTCAGTTCAAAATTCTATGTGGGTTACATGGATTGACAGACATCTGCAGAATGTTGAAGGATACAGTCACTGAGACATTAGTCTAAATGTAAATAACATTAATTCTGAACAAATTTTTCAACCTACTCTTTTATTCTGGTCTTAAGAGTGGCCAACTTGACACTCTTGTTCTGCTCTGTATCTCAGAGTAGGTATCAGCATATTTTTCTACATTTTGGTTCCTTTGTGTGCTTCTAAAAGCTACGATTTTATTGTGAAATAAATTGCAGTCAAATTCCAGGACATATTTCAGTTTCTCTCCAGGGTTTTCAGACTTGCCCAAACTCTCTACGCAGTAAAATTAAAGAATGTAGCAATCGTTTGGTTTAGCTACCCCAAAAGAAACAATAAAAGAAATTTAAATATCTCATCTTTTAACTTTTTTATTTCTCAGTCTTCATCATTAACAGTTAAATACGAAAAGGTTTTATACATTGACAGCATTCATCTGTTTACAGATTTTGTCAAATTTATAAATTACCAACCACGGTTAAGTTTTAACTCAGATTTCATTCACCTTAATTTCACTTGTTTTTCATTGCCATCTTTTTTAGCTAGACTCAAAATTCTGTTTTTTTTTTATTTTTTTTTTTTTTTTTTGGGGGGTTCTTGAGATTAATATTGTGTATCTTGTCATAGTTAGCAAGCTTGTCTCTCAGATCATTATGAGTCAGTTTGTGCCTCTATTTTTGTGGCCTTATGCCAAACTAGGCTCTGATTAGTAAACATAATTTGAGATCAACCTTTTGCTACTAAGATTATAAGCAGCTTTTTTTGTACCAATTGTTTCTTGTCTGTTTAAATGTGCATAAACTGCTTACTGCAATTGTTCATAGGCAATTCAATGATAAAACCATTTTAATCTGAGCCAAAAACCAGAGCTGGATAAAAGCCTGAATCCATAGCCTGGTCATAAATTTAACCAATGACTGATTTTTTTTTTTTTTTTTTTTTTTTTAACCCAATGTTACACTTCAGTATTTACAAGAAGTGTTCAAAATGGTATTCGTTTACTTTGAAAGGCTTTTGTACTTTGATTAAAACTATCTCTGAATCTAGGCTTCTGCATGACCCTGTCGATTATTTTTTTTTTTTATCAACCAGGAGAGCAGTTATAATTAAATTTTTAAACTTCTATTCTAATCTTTTCTTATGGCTTTTTATATTTGTCAACATAATGGCTTTTCTAATTCATCAATAAAAATGGCTTCTCTAATTTGTCAATATAATGGCTTAACTAATTTCCTAAATGATATTAAATTTCCTACGCTCACAAAAAGTTATTCTGATCTATTAATTTATGGTAACTCCAGAAAAATTATGAAATTGAAACTTTCATCCATTTCTGTTTTTAGGAGCTGCAGGTACTCTAAGTTTTTTGGCACCAAAGTTTCTGTAGTCGCACCCCTGCCCCCTGTATAGAGTTTAATTCCGACATGATTCTGTTTTTTTCCATTTTGCCCAACTGCCTTCAGAAAAGTTATAAGTCCATCTTCCTCCAGCTATGGGTTGAATAGCAGGGCAGATCTCTTGAGGTGCTAACAAGAAGGAAAACTCTGAATTAAAAACTGGCCTGAAGAAGAAGCTCTCCTGCCCAAGATACACCACTGCAGCTATAGCTACAGTACATGTGGTACCCTTATGACATTTTTTTTTTTTAAATCTCTCTCTACAGATATTTATCTTGTTCCTTATAAAGTTTATAGATGCTCAGCTAATGATTAAAAAAAATCTTTTGTCCTGGGTATGATAATAAATTACATCCAACAGCAAGGCCTCTAAACAGGAGGTTTTGAGGAGTGTGGAACTGCTTCTTAATTGCTGTTCTTTCCAGGTCCAGGGTGGTAGCACCTGTTAGGGTCCCAGCTATGGTCAAATAGTGGACCCCCAAACTTGGATTAAAACACTATGAAAGTATAAAAATACATTAGAAAAATTACCAGCATTACATTTTCATAGTTAAAGAATAAAAAAAAATGACCAGCATACATTGGAAAGAAAAAATACCAAAACTTACGAGAAAAAAAACTTACAGCATTAAATGACCCATAAGGAGTCGATATGCCCAAACCAATTAAAAAAAACAAAAAAAACTTTCCTATTAAATGTCATTTAAAATAAAACCTGTTTTAATGTCATTTTCTTTTTTTTCTTTTTTTTTCTTTTTTTTTTTGCTTCTTCCCTTTGGTTGTGCTTCATGGCTTTACCTGAATAGGTTGGAATTTTAGCAACTAATTTTTTGTTTTAAGTTTTGTTTTTTCTTTCAGTGTGAACCTTACTGTCTGAATATAGACTTGCAAGATGTTGATGTGTGTTTGTAGCCAATGTTGATGTCTGTCTGAAAATGAGTGGCCGAAAAACCTTTTCTTCTTTTTTTTCCTCATTTCTCTCTTTCTTTTTCCTCTCTCTCTCTTTTTCTCTTTCTTTTCTCTCTCTCTCTCTTTTTCCTCTCTCTCTCTCTTTTTCCTCTCTCTCTTTTTTTCTTTACTTTTTTGAATTTTTATCAACAATTGGTTAAGCTACCCACCCCACAAAAAATAATGAAAATAAAGAAATCTTGTTTTAAAAAACTTGTTATTGCTCAATCTTCATCATTAACAATTGGATGCTATCCATTGTGCCAAGAACTTTGAAACCGCAATATTTTCAAGTATTTGTCAAATTCATAAGTTTTGATCGGTGTTTCTTTCATCTTAATTGTTTTTTTTTTCCAACCACTCAGACCATTTTACAGGAAAGATACATCCAAAAATGTCATGATTTCAGCTATAGTTTGTCTACTACCATCTTTTTTTTCTTCTACAGAGGGGAGTTCTGAAATGGTCTCAACCTGACCAGGAAGGGATTTAAAAAAAAAAAAATAAAAAAAAATAAAGTAATCATATTTTAGGAATTGGGTTACTTTTCAACCCCCTTCCATTATGTTCTATACTCTTTTGTTAGCTACCTAGGGATAGGAATATCACAGGACCCATGACCCCTTAGGATCCTAGAGGCACCATGTGTACGGTAGCCAATCTAGATAACCTGACAGAGGTCAACCCTCTCCAGGCTGGTTGGAATTCAGTTTTCCTTCTCCTAGACTAGTCCCCAAGCAAGGCTATATATATATGTTAAGAAATGGACAAGGTCCGACAATTTATTTATTAAAGACACTTTTATGTTTAACGTTGTTATTTATAGATACAAGTATTTAAGCAAATGCTCTGTTTATGATAAACAGTATTAAATAACATTTACCGGCCTGAATGTCCGAGAAATTTTCATAGAAAAAGCATTTGCTTAAATACTTGTATCTATAAATAACAACGTTAAACATAAGTGTCTTTAATAAATAAATTGTCGGACCTTGTCCATTTCTTAACATATGACGTCATTTGTTTACATTCGATACGCCAGAGCAGTTATGAATGTACGAGATTCATGGAAGATTGGAGTTTATAAACAGTAAATTCGACCTTGTCTACCGTAAGGTTCTTTGTGGCCGAGCGGTCAAGGCACGTCAGCGTATATGACGGTTCCGTATAGGATGCAGGTTCGAATCCTGTCAAAGAACGAATATTTTCTATGAAAATTTCTCGGACATTCAGGCCGGTAAATGTTATTTAATACTGTTTATCATAAACAGAGCATTTGCTTAAATACTTGTATCTATAAATAACAACGCTAAACATAAAAGTGTCTTTAATAAATATATATATATATATATATATATATATATATATATATACACACACACACACACTTATTAGTGGAAACTCATATTTGAAATAGACACACTACTTTTTTTTTATATTAAACTGTGTATTATGTTTATCGGTTTGCACATTTGAGAAATTTTAAAGTAATAAAAATATCAGATTAAAATAAATTCATTAATTCTTTGGAATTGTGTGTGTATGTATGGTAAAGGGTTGGGTTCAGTTCAAAATTCTATGTGGGTTACATGGATTGACAGACATCTGCAGAATGTTGAAGGATACAGTCCAAATTCATAAGTTTTGATCAGTGTTTCTTTCATCTTAATCGTTTTTTTTTCCAACCACTTTCCTTTTCCTAGACTAGTCCCCAAGCAATGCTATAGAACACAGTCTGTCATGCTATTTACCCATAGCTAGGGGGGGAAAAAAAGATGGTTTCATACCTTTCCCCAGGGTGTTAGCATGTGAGTGAATGTAACGAACTCAACTTGAATTCAAACTTGATGCTCCAATTCCTCAATCTAAGCTGCTATCCACTGTGCCTTCTAAATAGAAATATACTTTTATTTATTTTTTTTTTTTAAACTTAGGACTTTGATCTATACTAGGGTTGTTTAATCTCTGTTCTAGAATTAATATTAGTTGTTAAAATTGTTTACGCTTGAGTTGAATAAAAACAAAAGTAAGACCTTTCAATGTAGTAGGTTGTTTAGAAAATAATGTCCAATTTTAGAATAAACATTTTAACTGTATTCTAATCTATTATAATAGCTGCACAAAAATATATTACTAATTCCTAATGATTAAAGTGTCCACTTAATTAATTTTATATTTTCATTCAGAATTTAGCTTAAAACATTATATACTCTTCATCTTGAACATGGTTGATTGAATTTTTTATGGTTTATCAACCTTTTTCAGGTTATTTAAAGCCAGAAAATCTTTTTACATTGTATTTTGTTTTGTGATAATAATGATTAACTGATACAAGTTTTACTAATTAACCCATAGCTAGGTGGAGAAGAGATAGATTCATAGCTTTCCCAAGAGTATTTGCACAGTCAACAAACTTGACTGGAATTGAAACTCAGCTCTCTCCAATTTTCAATTCCAAGCCATTATCCATTATTCCATTTGCCCATCCAAATTTACAGCACCTGGTATTCCTAAGCAGTTACATATCAAGGTACTGACTAAGCCCAAGATTGCTTAACTTTAGTGATCATGCAAGAACTAGCGTTTATAACATGATATAGCTGTAAGCCTCTTGAACATGAAAAAGATGCATTTATTTTTTTGTACGAGTTCAAGTTTGATCATAATGCTTTTCAAGCTGCTGCCAACATCAAAAAGGTATGGAATGAAGGATCCACTTGTGATCAGACGGTACTGTCCTGGTGTCTGAAGTTCCACAGTAGGGATACGAGTCTTTAAGATCATAGTAGTAGAGGACGTCCATCTGCAATTGACAATCAACATCTGTCAAACAAAACTGACATCAAAGTGTCAGAGAAATGTCTCAGATAATGGGAGTCAGCATTTTAACAATGTCAGAACATCTCAAGTAAATTGGCATGGTGAAGAAACGCAATAAATGGGTTCCGCAAAACTCATTGAAAATCAAAGAAGTGTGTTCGATGCTGCATCTGAGAAATTTGAATGATCCATTTCTTGATCCAATAGTGACTCATTATGAGAAATGGATCTTTTTATGATGATTGTAAACAATCAACTCGCTTGGTCATGACAAAAGACCCAAACACTTTCCAAAAATCAAATTGCATCAGTAGAAGATTATGGTGACTGGTCATCCCCTATTGCAATAATCCATGACAGCTTTCTGGTATCTAACCAGACCGAAGTTTGCTGCCACCAATTGGATGAAATGCACCTTCCGTTAAACAAAATGCAATCAGCACTGGTTAATCAACAATGTCCAATTCTACTTCATGACACTGCTTGGCCATGTGTTTACAAGTATGATACTACAGAAGTTCACCAACTTGGGATATGAGACTTTGCCACACCCAACATCTTCCCCTGATCTCTCACCCACTGACTTCCTCTTTTTCAATTGACTTGATAATTTTCTAAACCAAAAAAAAGATGCAGAAACTGTACTCAAAGATTTCTTGGCAATCAAGCGTTTAGACATAAATAATCTTATAACTCGATGTCGCAGATATATACATGTTCAGAGTTCCTATTTTAACTAATTTAAATTCTATTTAAATACATTAATTCAAGAATAAAAGTTGATTCTAAAATTGGACATTAGTTTCCAAACAACCTAATATATAAGAATTCTTAAATCATACTTATTATAAAATCCAGGTTGTGTGCATGTGCGTGTGTACGTTTATATATTGGATTGGATTTCCTACATTTTTCAACCGATTTCAACAAAACTTCACAGGACTACATAAAATTACCTTGTGGTGGTTCTGACAGCACCAAAAATTGGAAAAACAATTGTTTTTGCACGAAATTAATTTGAAAACACGATCAGGCATCGCGAGAATGAAAGGGGGACAACTCATATAGAGTTATACTTATTATAAAACCCAGATTGTTTCTGTATGTGTGTGTGTGTGTTCATTTATATATGGGATCGGATTTCCTACATTTTCAACCGATTTCAATAAAACTTCACTTTTTTTCTTTTTTTTCTTTTTTTTTAGCAGGTAGTGTTTCTTATTGTCTTGCACACTTTTTTCTTTATTTTTACATTTAGAATGCTTTAAAAATTCCATTTCCAAGACAATTGTTTATAATAAAATTCTATTCAATCGATAGACTCATAACGATTGAAAACAATGTTTTTTTTTTTGAGTTTGACCAATTAAAAAAAAAAAAAAAAAAAACTAAGACATGCATGTCCATCAACCTTAAACAATAATCTTTGTCAATTTTATTTTTTCAGTCTTTATGATGGTCGATACTTGATCTATCTCTTACTGTTACATCCCGGGCAACGCCGGCTCTCTCCTAGTAAAATTACTGTATAAAATAACATGTTTTCTTGTTAGTTTTTTTTCTGTGTTGGTTAAGATAGACTGATATCAGTTGTGGAGTTGCCTAAGATTTAGTTAAATTTCAGTACATATGCTTATAAATGAATTGATTATTTTCTAAAAAGAAGTGTAGGAGTGTAATTGTAATATTAGTCATTTCCCTCCAAGGAAACATTTGGCATTCATTGACCAAGCAGTCAGAACTGTTTTCAATTGAAATTTATAAAATCTTTCTCTTAAAGCACTTTAAAAAAAACACTTTCTCAAGTCCAGTAGCTTTTATCGTTCTTTCCAGTGTCAGTGAGGGTTACTTTCCAAACCTTCTGTTTGAAGTGGTGTGGAATTTAACATCTTGATTATGTCAATATTTTCTCTTCTCATTATATGTGCTATCCATTTTAGTTGTTACTACTGTTGGTAGTCCTCAAGTGAAGTGTTTTCTGTTATCTGATACAGTTCTTTGTAATTCCATAGCGCTAGTCTAAAATGTTCAAAGAAGGATGAACTTTTGCCAAGACCCTCAGGTTTTACTCACTTAAAGCCTTTTTACACCATTTATCTTAGAAAGTGCTTGTGTACAGCTGACAGTATAGATGTCACTGAGTGGGTTTGATGCTATGTATGACATCCATATGAAAGTCTCCATCTGTCGAGGCCATTTAAGAATATGACTCAAGTGTTCAGGTTGATGTTTTGGTTTCATAGCAATTTGCAGTGTTGGGCAAAACTTCCTCTTGCACAGCCTATTCTATATTCAATTTCTTTTTTTCCAATATTTAAT